CCTCCACACCAGCACAGGCTCCATCCAGCTTTGCCAAGAGAGGGAGACCAGGGAAGCCGGCTGGGGGTGCCGGGAGGAAGACGGAGGGGGAGCTTCTTTAGCAACCGATCTGGTTCCTTTGGGGTTTGGCTGGAAGCTGCACCTGGGACAAGCAAACCCTGCTCCCGTTTCCAGCCCACAATGCTGAGGGGCACGGGGAGGGGGGTGTTTTAGGGCTGGGGTGCCTGGGGAGGCCTCCCCGCTCCTCCTACACAGATCAGGCCTCTCCACCCTCCCTGCCCGGGTCCACCTCCCGAGCCAGGCCCGCGGGCCCAAGAGCAGCTCCTGCGAGGGGTGATGGGGGCTTTTCTGTTCCGCTTTCCAGAGGGTCTGGTTGGGAGTGGGAATGTCTGACAAGGAAGGATGACAAGGAGACGAGGCTGCAGGAAGGCGGGCATGAGAACGGGGCACGCGTTTAAAAATGCACCAGGGGGTTTGTCTGTTCCAAGTACAAATTTAGAGATTTAAAAAAACCAGCTTCCGCGCTGCCTGGGCCGCGTGTGTTACGGGGATGCCAGGCAAGGAAGAGGTGGGAAGGACCCGGAAGGCCAGACCGGCGGCTGCAGGTGGAGCGCGCGGCCTGGACAGCACCCCCCGGGCTCAGCGCGGGCGCCTGCTGTCCCCCTGTCTGGGTGCCCCTCAGCCCAGCTGGGCGGGTGGGAAGATGCTGCCCTTGAAGCCCCAGGCGTGGCCTCCGTCCTGGCCCTGCCGCTCAGTAGCCTGTGCCCTTCACCTGTCTGCACAGTGGAGGGGCGCAGAGGCCTTGTCCCAGGTTGGGGAGCCTTGACCAAAGGGAGATCCCTGGGGAGGGGGTACACAGCAGGCCAGCAAGACGTCCCAGGGGGCAGGAGGGCGCTGATGGCTGTGCGGCTTGGACACTGACTTGGGGGGATGGATGTGACCACGCAGCACCAGAGGAAGGGCGCGGACACCAGGTCCGGGTGGGTTTGCTGGAGGTTTCCGGCTGGAGACTGAGCCAACCCTGGCCGGAGGAGGAGTGGGGGCGCAGAAGCGCAGAGGGGTCAGGGCGCCCACCCTAACCTGGGCGTCGGCGGGGGTGGGAGCGAGGCAGGCTGCTCCTCCCGTGGGGCAGAGAAGCCGTCCCCGCCCCCGCCCCCCCCCAGTCTCGGGGGGCTGCCGCACCCCATGTGACTCCGCAGGAGCCTGTGGGCCCTTCTGCCCTGCTGCCACCCCCGCGGGGCTCCCAGTCCACCTCCTCACCTCAGCCCGCCACCCCCTCCCCAGCAAGACCCCTGCCTCCCTCTCCCCACTGCATCTGTGATGCCCCCGGGAAGAAGCCTGGCGGGGAGGGGGCGACCCGGCTTGCTGAGGGCACCCGCATCGGGCGCAGAGAGGCAGCGGAAGGACGAGGAGAGGCCGGTCCACAAACGTGCGGGTGCAGCCCTCCCCCTGCTCCAGGAGCCTCCACGAGCAGGTGGGTCAGCAGAGCCGGCCTCCAGGCTCGCGAGGCCGCTCGTCGGTAGCTCTGTCGCCAGGCCGCCTGGGCCCTGGCTGCACCCTCCCACTGCCTGCCCTTAGGCAAGTTACTACATGTCCCCAGCCTCCGTGTCCCCATCCACAAAGTGGCGTCAACAGTGCCCCTAACCCCAGACAGCTGTTGCGGGGACTGGGAACCATACACAGGTGTTTCCCTGCGGGCATGGTTTCTCCCCACGCGGATCCCTCCTGCAGAGCTGTTACCGCCAGCATCCCCCACGGCCGCTGCCCCCGGCTTCCCGGGCCCGGCCATCCCCTGCCGCAGCCTCCCGGGCGGTGCCGGGGTCTGCGCCGCAGGGAGAGAAGTGACCCGGCCCAGGGCTTCTCGAACGTGACCAGATACGTGAATGGCCTGAGGTCTTGTTAAGAGGCAGATCCCGACCCCGTCGACCTGGGCTGGGCCTGGGAAGCTCCTGGCGAGGCGGCTGCTGCTGGCCCGTGGACCACACGCTGGCGTAGCAGAGGGCTGGGGCCCAGAGCCCGTGTTCCTATCCTGGGGGGGTGTCGCTCGGCCTGCAGCTCCTCAGCCCCATCCTCCATCCTGATTCTCTCAGCAGAGCCCAGCGAAGGAGGCTGGGGACCCCGCTGGGTCCACCCTCCTCTCTGTGTCCCTGTCCCTGGGACTGGGACAGAAATGCCCACAGGCTGTGGGGCTCGGAGCCCCGAGACCGCCACCTCATTCGTCTCCGTTGCCCGTTCTCCCACCTGGGTGGGGATTTCCCTCCCAGACGGTGTGAATTTATTCTGCAGTGGCCACGCCTGCCTGAGCCGCTGTGCTCCTAGCATCCTAATGTAGGTCGCCCCTTTCCTAACGAGGTAGATGCTTCTGGGGGCCGCAAGGGGTCCTGGGTTGGAGGTGGGCTGGAGGGCTGGGTGATGGACCCCACAGCACCTGAGGGGGTCCTTCTGTGGTCCCCAGGGAGTGCAGGCTACATCCCCATGGACCTGGGGGGCCTTGTTCCCGTCACGTTTCTCCAGAGATCCCAGGGCATGGGTCTGAGTGTGGAAAGGGTCCTGGGTTGGGGGCGGCCCTCGGGGGGCTTCTCTAGACCCTGCTTCTGGGCTGGAGGTCCCCCCGTGCATCTGTCTGCCGGGGGCATGCAGGAACTGCGGTAGTGATAGCATCTGAGGATGCTGGAGGGCTGCCAGCATGTGCGTGAGTGCACCCATGTGAGTGTGTGTGTGTCAGCACGTGCCTGGCTGCACGCTCTCTAGGGGGGTGGTCTGCATCACATGCTGTGTTGGGAGCCTGTGTGTGTACCCCGCTCAGCGCACACACGTGTCTCCCCCCAGGGGCCACTGCTGGGGGACATTCACCAGGGAGCGGGCCTCCGTCCCTGACCCGCCCTGTGACCAGGCATGCCGGTCTCCACCTCTGAGCCTGGCTGGCTGCTGACCCGCCTGACACCGTGTGGGCACTGTGAGCTGCTGACCTGCGGGTCCTCGCTGGCGAGAGGAGTGTGGGACTATTCCAGGGGTCGGGGCCGAGGCTCACGGAGAGGGTGGGCGGCGTCCTCGGTGATGGAGGCCTGGGAGGCTCTGTGCGAGCGCGGCCCACGGTGACCGCCATGTGACGGCTGCTGGCCTGGCACGGGCCCAGGCACAGAGAAGGACACCCAGGTGTGAGACTGGGGGACCAAGAAAGAGAGGTCCCGCAGACGCGCTGGAAGCCGCCGCCCCTCCCCGTGGGCACAGGGCACTGGCGTCTCCCTACGTCTACCTGGGGCTCAGGTCCAAGCTTGGGGTCCCCTACACTGCCGTGCAGGGTGCTGTGTCCCGAATTCAGCAAATGCTAGCTCCCGTCCCCCGATCAGAGGGACCCTCACGGAGGGCAGTGTGCTCTGGTCTCATCACCTTTAGGGATAAGGAAACCGAGGCCCAGAGGGTTTCCGTGATCTGTTTAAAGTTACACAGCGAGGGAGCGGCCGGTAGGGATTTGAAACCAGAGCCCTCCCTGACCTGGGAGTCTGAGCCAGGAGCCCCGGGGACCTGGCCCTGTGAGGGTAGCTGGAAAAGACCCCTCAGCTGCTCTGGGCATCTCCTCCGCCCCCAGCCCAGGGCCCCGGATCCATCCTATAGGCATGTGGGTCTGCACCCCTCGCCCCACATCTGCCCAGTGCGACTCGCTCTGCAGCCTCTGTGAGGCTGCGAGCCCCCTGGTGGGGGGGTGAAGCCCAGAGTGACAGACAGGCCCCCCCAGCGGTCCCCCTCCCCGGCGGGCCCCCATCCTGAGCGGGTGCCCTTGCCGGGGCCCAGCTGCGGGCCCCTGGGGCTGTGGCGCTCGTGGGCTCATGGGGCCAGGAGGCTGCTTGGCAGCGGTAAGCGGGGAGGAGATGGGAGAGGCCCCCAGTGCCTGAGGGAGACCCTGCTCAGATGCTGAGGTTCCAGCGGCTGCCCCCACCCCTCAGCTCCGCTCTGCTCTGCTCTGCCATTAGCCCCTCAGGCTCCCAGAGTTAAGGTGGCTGTGGGAGGGGAGCGGGAGCCTGCAGCCTGGAGCCCCCGGGTCCAGCGTGGCAGCGAAGCAGGGGAGGCTGCTGGCCCGTCTCTGTCCGTTTGCCGCCTCGCGCTGGGCCGGCGGCAGGGGCCCCGCAGTCCCCTTTCCCGCCCCTGTGATGGGGCCCTGGCCACGCCTGGAAGGGAGCGGGGTCAGGGCAGGTCACCTGGGAAGGGGGAAGCCCCCTCGCCCCTCGGGAAGAGGAGCCGCTGTCTGCGCTGCAGCCTCGCCCTCTCCCCGCCCCTGTCCCCCGACGGCAGCGGCTGCAGCACGAGCCCCTGAGCTGATGAGGTTTATCCCAGACCTGCTGGCGGCAGAAGACAGAGTGCGGCCGCTCACCCCCCGGGAGACCGCGGAGGGCAAGCAGGGGGCTTCCCCGTGCCAAGAGCCGGGCCTGGGCCTCATCCGCGAGCCAACGGCCACCCGTACGCGGGGCCTGGTCTCTGCCTCCTCGGGGGCCATGGTAAGAGCACAGTGGGGCTGGGGAGCCAGCTGGCCCTCGATGATTTCTGTGCCTGGGACGTGGGGGAAGCCCAGAGGCAGAGGAGGCCACGTGGCTCCGAACACGTTTACGAGATCATCCAGGGAGACAAGAAGAGGCGGGGAGAGGCTGGGCGGGAGGTGAGGGGTGCTCCTGCATCGCCCAGCATTGGCCTCAGCACTATCTCCAGCCCCAGGGCTCCCGGGATGCCCGCCCGCCCCTCCGCGCGCCCCCTGCTGTCGACGGAGGCAGCGGCTCCTGGCTTCTCGGCCCCCTTGCTCCTCTCTATTCCCCCCGCCCAGGGAATCAGAGCCGAGAAACACAGGAGGGGAGGGTAAAGAGACACCGGGCCCCCTCCATAACCCGGGGCTGCACCGGCCTGACACCCGCTTCCGCTCAGCTCTCTCTCCCTCTCTCTCAGGACTGACCGAGCGGACAAGGGGCTCCTCTCTCCCTCGAGGTGCCGGGCCTGACAGCCGTGCAGCCACCATGCTGGCCCCGGGCAGCGGCCCCGAGCTGAGCACCTGGTTTGCCCCGCTGTGGAGGCAGATCTCTTGTGAGTGGAGGCGGGGGGTCGGCTTAGCGGGGATGCAGGGATGCTCTTCCCAGGCGTCCATGGCCTGGGTCTGGGAAGCAGGGCCCAGTCCCCGCAGCCCTGCCCACTGTGCCAGGGGAAGAGCTGCTTCTGAGCTCTGTGGCGGGCGGGTCGGGGGCAGGGGCTCCACAGGCAGCTCTGTCCCCCACCCAGGTGGGTCTGCTTCCGCCCCCAGGGGCCCCAGCGAGTCCTGCTGCCCTAATGGCAAACCGCCCTCTCCCTGCTCGGCCATCAGCTGGGTGGGCCTGGAGGCCTCTCTTAGGGCTCAGCCCCCGTAGCTCCGAGACGGGGGTGGGGGTGGGGTGGGGTGGTGGGGAACCAGGGGGCTCTGAGGACGTGACACTGGAAGGGGCCTTAGGGAGGGGGTCTAGCCCCTCCTCCTGCGTATGGGGAGACAGAGGCCGCCCACTCCCCACAAGGGAATCTTGTGAGCTGTCGGGTGAAGGAAGCCCTGGGAATTCTCTTCACGAGGTGAAGGGTCAAGGCTACAGGGTAAGAGGTAAGAATGGTCTCGAGGGACGTCCCTCAGCCTGACTCCTGCCCTCGCACGGTCAGCCCTGTGATGCTGCCGCCCCAAGACACAGGCGGCCTGAATTATTCACCCCGCAGAGCAGCTGATCCCGAGGGACCCAGCTCCCCTTTCAACGTCCTCTTGAATCACTCAACACCTCACAACACAGGGCTCTGTTTTCTTGCCACCAGAGCTTTTACGCCAGCCTGAATTTCTTGGGGGTGGGGGGACAGTGACCTGTAGTTATGTTGGTCCTTTTGAGAGGGAGGCTGGATGGGTTGAATGTTTTTCTGGGGAAAGTGAGGTCTGAGGAACTCAGTTGACTTCCACAAGGCACGGCGGGGGTAGTCTGACAGGCTGACCTGGCCGCAGACAGCTCAGGAAGCGAGAGGGTCGGCGGCCCAGCAGGTGACCTCAGGTGGCCGGAAGGGCTTCCAGTTGGCGTCCATGGCCATGCCTGTGCTCATTTCCCCCCGAGAACAAAGACGCTCAGGTGTCAGCCTGGCAGGTGCCTCTCAGGAGTCACTGATCCTCCAGGAAAGGGGGGTGCAGTCCCACCCTGTTCCTTCAGGATCTGCCCTTTGGGACACCAGACAGCAGACCCCTACTAGACACAGACTCAGGACCGTCCCCTCCAGACCCCTGGTCAGGGCAGCTGCTGCCCCTCCAGCTTGAGCCAAGCGGCCAGCACTCCTCGGCTGGGGCCTTTCCTCCCGGCCCGGTGGGATCCTCCCCTTCCACAGGGACACCCTGGGGGACAGTCGGGGGCTTTGTAGTCACTCTTAGAAGGGTGGGCCACGGAACGAGCTGCCCTGCGGGACTGTTCTCTGAGCACCCGTCCCCCTGCAGCCTTGCCACAGGGGCCCTGGGCAAAACACGGGACCGTGAAAGGAATGCTGTCAACAGACCTGTCCTGCGGAAAGTGGGGACAGCAGCCCAGGCTAAGGGCAAGGCAGCTGTAGAGTGAGAACAGACGTGGGACTTGCCCCAGGCCCACAACTTCGGGGCTCGCACCCTAGCATCCTCCACGTGGACGTGGAGCTCGGCATCTCACCCCGCCGTTTCCACAGTAGTCTCTGGGGTGGGGCCCGGGCGGGCCCAGGCTCCCTCGTCGCCCTGAGTCGCTGGCCCACCTTGGATGTGGGACTCATGCAGACCAGGGAAGTGGTGGCAGGGGTCGGTGTGCCCCTTTGTGCGTGCAGCGCGGCCCCTCCCATGTATGGCCATCAGCCCCGTGCAGCTCTGGGTGGCGGGGGCAGGGGGCTCGGTGCAGAGGGGAAGGAAGCAGAGCCATTTTCTCTGGACAGAATCCTTCCATGGCAGCGGCCCTGGGAGAGGAACATGGGGCGGCCCCTCTGACACCCTCACAGCCTCTGTCGCGTCAGCGTCTGTGGTGTCGGGGCCGTATTGGGACCCCGGCTGCCTGGCGGTGTCCGTCCACATGGACGTGCTGCGGGGGGTTAGTTATGTTTCTACGTGGTCAGGAAGCTCTACGGCACTGCGCTTGGTTGGACCAAAGGGGATCGGCGCGAGGCCGCCTGATGGGAGGCGCATGGGAGGGGAAGGCAGTGGGAGCGGCGACCCGCAGTCCTGCCATGCCCCGTCTGTCCCGCAGGGCTCACCTGCTGGATCGCCCTGTGCACGGCGGAGGCCGCCCCCGCCTGCCCCTTGCCCTGCACGTGCGACGGCCACGGCCTGCAGGTGGACTGCAGCGGCCGGGGCCTCGCCGCGCTGCCCGCGGACCTGCCGGCCGCCACCCGCAGCCTGCTGCTCCTGAACAACAGGCTGAGCTCCCTGCCCGCCGGGGCCTTCGCCGGCCTGTCGGGCCTGCAGCGGCTGGACCTCTCCAACAACTTCCTGGACGGGCTGCCGCGCGCCGCCTTCGGGGGGCTGGCCAACCTGACGGAGCTGCAGCTGCACAACAACAGCCTCCGCGCCCTGGACCCCGAGCTGCTGCGGCCCCTGGCGCGCCTGCGCCACCTCGACCTGTCCCTCAACGGCCTGGCCCGGCTCCCGCCCGGCCTCTTTGACGGGCTCCCCGCCCTGCGCTCCCTGTTCCTGCGCGCCAACCGCCTGCAGAGCCTGGACCGGCAGACCTTCGAGCCCCTGGCCAGCCTGCAGCTGCTGCAGGTGGGGGACAACCCCTGGGAGTGCGACTGCCACCTGCGGGACTTCAAGCACTGGCTAGAGTGGTTCTCCTACCGAGGTGAGCACGGGTCAGATCGGGGAGGAGTGGGCCCGGCCTGGCCACCGGCGGGCACAGGGGCTCCGCGGACCCCTTCTTCCCATCCCCTCCGCTCCCAGCCGCCTTGCTCTGCCCTGTCTCCTCAGGCTGACTCTCTGTAACTGGCTCTCACTTCTGTAGGTTTCAGGATGGACTTAAACACACAGTGTCATTGTCCTCTGCCTCTAGGCTTCCCTGGCCCAGGAGGAGGAGGGATAACACCACCCTCGTGGGCTTCCCTGGTGGCGCAGTGGTTGAGAGTCCGCCTGCCGATGCAGGGGGACGCGGGTTCGTGCCCCGGTCCGGGAAGATCCCACGTGCCGCGGAGCGGCTGGGCCCGTGACCCATGGCCGCTGAGCCTGCGCGTCCGGAGCCCGTGCTCCGCAACGGGAGAGGCCACAACAGTGAGAGGCCCGCGTACCGCAAAAAAAAAACCACACACCCTCGCTCCTGTGAATAATGCAGCCACCTCTTAAGTACCCACAGTGTCGGGAGGGTGGAATAGAGTTAAAATCCACAAATGCAGTCACATTTTCTTCTTGACGATGATCTCAACTCCTTCTCCCTAGAAGTTCTGTTATCAAAGCTTTTACTAAGAAGCCAAATGCTCCCCCTTTCGGTGACCCGGGAAAGTTCTAGAATGGCCTTCAGAATGATTCAGTGAAATGGACAACAAGGGCAGAGAAGTAAACCTACTGGCTAAAAGCGCCAGATCCGGGTTTGCCCCATGGCTCTGCCGCTTACTAGCTGTGTGTGATCTTGAGAGTTGACTGACCTCTCTGTGGCTGCGCCCTCGTCTGTGAAATGGGGACAACAACAATATCTATCTCAGAGAATCACTGTGCGGATTAGGTAGGTAACGCATGGAAAGCGTCTGGAAGAGTACTCAGCATAAAGTGAGTCCGCAATAAAACTTACTCATTTATATGTCCACTGGCTGGCGGAAGTCATAATATTAACCGGGCTTAAGTAGACACAGTTTGGTGTCCAGCACAAAGTAGGGCTCCATGAATATTTGCTGAACGAGTGAATCGATGTGAAGCGAGCGCTAATGCTTTCGTCAAAGTCTTACTCCTTTTGTTGCCTAGTGTTTCCACAATTTAATTATTTGCATAATATTCTTACGTGTTAGTTAATTAAAAACATTTTACAAACGATAAAGTGCCATAAAATGTTAGTCACTGTGATAATTTCTCCCGTTTTTGTGAGAGGAGAAATAATAAGACTTGCATGGTTTCCAGTTTCCAAATATCTTACCATGTACACGACCTACTTGAACCCTAACTGAACTGCAGCTGAGATGGCCTTTCTTATTGACAGCCTAGAAAATCGAGACTCCTAAGCAATTCAATACGTAAAGTGATTTTTGCACAAGACGACCTGGCCCGGAGGGAGTCAGCCTCAGGTGTTTGGAGCAGGGAGGTAGGGTGGCTGCATCTCCATGCCCAGCCCCCGCCCGTGCAAAGGCCCTGGACACAGTTCACGGGATGTAAGCCTTGGACAGGGGTCTGGAGAGCCAGACCGAAGTGTGATCTGGAGGGGACGTCCTTGCCCCTCCAGTCGTCGGTCATCGGGAGCTAAAGGGCACGACGGAGGGGGAATGTACATTTTAGGAACTTTTCACTAGTAGAGTTATCTTCCGCCATACGCTCCTGCAAAAGAACCCAGACCAAACCAGAACAAAAAACCTGGGCTCTTTTCCTCAGCACCCGGGAAAGACTGATGTCTATTGTGTGAGGAGACCGCGGCGACCGGGCTGCAGGAGCCCAGGCACTTCCCTGGGGGCCGCGCCTGTGCCTAGATGTCGGGCTGCCGGAAGAGGCCGAAAGGGGGGCGTCTGGGCAGCTCCTCTTCCTCTTGCCCCACGTGTGCTCTGCACCCTCCCCGCCCAGGCCGCGGCGTGAGCCTGCGCTGCCCGCACACCCTCCTCTGCCCTCGGGGGTCCTCAGGGCGCCCCCCCAAGATGGCACTGCGCTCACGGGTGCTGTGGCCAGGCTGCTGAGGGGCCACCACTGCCCTCAAGGAGGAAACTGCTGCCCCTGGGTCCTCCTCTCCCTCTTCCGAGGAGGAGCCTTAGGAGCCACGGCCCCGCCCGCGTGGAGAAGCAGGGCCGAGGCTCTGACCTCTGTGCTTTGTGCGGGCGGGAGGGGCGCGGGGGGAGCAGTCGCTGGGGAGAGCAAAGCGGGGGGTCACGGACGGCGGTCAGTGGAGAGGTCAGTTAGCACAGGCACGGGCTGCCGCCTGGCAGGGCTCCTGGCCCCCCTTTCCTGAGCACCCGGGGGCCAGCCTGACTCTGGTGGCAGGAGAGGTGGGAATGTTTGCTTCTCTATCAGATGCGAGCAGGGCCACCGTCCATCTTCTGAGGCTTCTGCGCGGGTTAGACGCCGTGACACGTGTGCCCGCCTCCCCGCCGCCGGGCGCCGGGCGCCAGAGTCCCCTTAACCTCCCCGCTTCCTCTCCTGTCGCCGTGACTCCGGGATTGATGGCGCTGCGGATGGAAACTAGGCCTCCCGGGCCTCCGTGTGGGGACCTGGGGCTGGGGGAGGGAGTGCCGGCCTCAGCCCCCCTTTTCTCTCTCCTGATGCAGGGGGGCGCCTGGATCAGCTGGCCTGCACCCTGCCCAAGGAGCTGAGGGGAAAGGACATGCGCGTGGTCCCCATGGAGATGTTCAACTACTGCTCCCAGCTGGAAGACCAGAACAGCTCAGCCGGGCTGGAGGTCCCCGGGCCACCCTGCACCAAGGCCAGCCCGGAGCCTCCCAAGCCCAAGCCGGGCCCCGAGCCCGAGCCCGAGCCCAGCACCGCCTGCCCCCAGAAGCAGAGGCCGCGGCCCGTGAGCGTGCGGCGGGCCATCGGCACCGTGATCATCGCGGGGGTGCTGTGCGGTGTGGTCTGCATCATGATGGTGGTGGCCGCTGCCTACGGCTGCATCTACGCCTCCCTCATGGCCAAGTACCATCGGGAACTCAAGAAGCGCCAGCCCCTCATGGGTGACCCGGAGGGCGAGCACGAGGACCGGAAGCAGGTCTCCTCTGTGGCCTGAGAGCCCAGGGAGGGGCCGGGGGGGCACGCCAGCCCCCCTCTCCCACCCCCTTTCCACCTTCCCCCCAGCCCGCCAGCAAACGGGCCCGTGTCTCCACGGACGCCGGAGCGTCCGGAAGGTATCGGTACACTGACGCTCCCCTCTGGACCACCAACGCTCTGGCCCACGGGCAGAAAAGATGTGCGTGCGAGCAAAGGCTCCTGGACCCAGCGCCCCCGTACCCCCGCGGCTCCCGGTACAGTCACAGCCGGTGACGCCCCCCTTCTCTGGCTCGACCCACCTTATCTGCGTCTAGGGGGTGCGGGGCCGGTTTCTGCGACTCTCTTCTAAGCCAGGAAGATGTTGGGCCCAGCTTCCGATGGCTGGTACCACTGTGCATTCAGCCCAGCCCAGCCATCTGGACCAGCACTTGGCAACCCAGCACCACGCCCTCGCCAAAGCCATCTGTCCCTGCATCACCAACCACCCAGCTCCGGGTCACTAATCGTTCTCACTCGAGCTCGGCATCACACACATAGTCACGTGAGGACAGAGGTCATGGGACCTCGGGGAGCAGAGCCAGGCGACCCCGTGGTCTCAGCCCTCGGGCCACACAACCTCCTGCTTGCTTATGCAACCTCCTGCAGCGGATGGGGAGAAACCCAAGCCCACGGCACAAGGATTCCTTCCAGATCCTCTCAAGAGGCCAAGGTGGTGCTGCCGGATGAGGCTGCCCGTCACCATGGTAACCCGCTCACACCTCCCCTGCTGGGATTTCCAGGGACGCCTGCCCAGAGGCCTGGAAGCTGCAGCGTGTGTGGATGGTGGCCTCCCGAGAGCCCGGCCACGCACCACCGGACTCATCCTCAGCGCTGCCGAAGCACGTCCCTGCCAGGCCCCGTGGGGACGCGCACCGCTCCCCCTCCCACAGCCCGCGGCCCGAGAACCGTTGCTCTGCACCTCCCACTGCCATGCCCCATCCTCAGCATCTCTGGGCCCGTGACCCCAGGGCGGGGACTGGCTCATCCTCTGTGACCCTCCTGCCAGCATATACCAAACAGACCCTGGGAGCAGGGCAAGGACTCCCCCGTTCTCCTCAGAGGTCTCAGTAACGGGGTCCCTCTCCCAACGTCCTGTCAGCTCAGTCTGGCTTCCCAGAGTCCTCGTGGCACCTGGACTGGGGCCCAAACCAGAGCAAGGGCCCAGGGGCCCATCTGCTCGTTACCTGTAACCCCCCCCCCCCCAAAGGGACAGAGGCTGAGGGTGGGTGTGGGAGGGGGCGGTGCAGGGTGGGGTTCACCGGTGCCCTTTCCGAGGTCTGCCCTCCTGGGGAGTACGATCCCAGTGAGTCCTGGGCCTCGCTCTGCAGGACATCAGCCTCCCCGCCGCTTACGGAGGGTCAGGTGCCAGCAGGCCGGTTCCTGGCTCTGCGACGGCCGCGAGTCTAGGCAGTGGCCTGGGGGAGGCCGTCAGAACATGGTTCTGAGGCAGGACAGGTATAGAGGGGGCCGGGTGCAGGCTGCCCACCGGGCTGGCCTGCAGTCTTCCTTCTTTTGGGGTGCCAGCCAACACCAGACCCGGGGATTTTCTAAAGGGAGTCAGGGAAGGCTGGACGTTGTCAGTGGTGGTGTCTTCAGCCTAAGACAGAAGATTTTTAAAGGCAAAATTATATTTCTGGTTTGTCGTTTCAGATGTGACCAATAAAGACTGTATTTTCCTATCTACTTCCTGGTTTCCTTGGGCGGGAGAGGGCACAGGAGCCAGCAGCCGGGACGGTGGCTCCTGCCCGCTGACCTCCCCAGATGGGTGCACAGAGTGTCCCCAGGCCCCTAAGGAGGACGGCAGCTCCCGCCCGAGGCCTCGCCTTGGGGCGCCCCCGGGAGGGCAGCGGGGGAGCGCGGAGCTCCGAGCCTGCTCCCGGCCCCGCTGCGAGCGAGCCTGCCCTGCGGTCAAGGGCAGACGGCCACGGGGTAGGAGGTGCGCCTTGGCCCTGGGGGCCCTCCTGCTGCCTGCCGGGAGGGGCGGCTCCCCGAGAGCAGTTTAGGGGACTAGGTTTCACCAGCCTTGGAGGGGTGTCGCTGGGTTTGCAGGACGAGCCCTGTTTAATGTCCTGTGTTTTTGAGGCTGACGTACAGACGACCCCTCCTCAGGGCTCAGCAGGTGCAGGATCAGAATTCGGGACCGGAGGGCTGGGGCGGGCCGGGGGAGGAGTGGGCGACGGCAAGGCCTCCGGCTGTCCGCCCACCGGCGGCCCGCGTGGCCCACCTCGCCTGACTGGCCGGGCCTGGGCTACACGCGTCACAGTCTTCAGACCAAGACGGGATTCTCCTCTAGCCAGGAGCCCTCCCTTGGGTGACACCCCAGCGAGCCAGGAGCCACCCCCGGGGAGAAGGGAGCCAGCAGGTCCCTGTTCCAGTAGTTCCGCTGGACCCCTTCCTGGGTGGGGGTAAGTGGGGAGAGGTGCCCTCCTGCGGCCCTGACCGGTACTGCAGAGCTGGGAGTGCAGGCCCCATGGGGGCAGGGGACCGCCTGCACAGCCTGCACAGGTGTGGGTAACGCGCAGACGCAGACGCACTGTTCTGAGAGCGCCCCGCCGTCTGAAAGGCTGGGCCGTGCGCACGCAGGGGGAACTCCAAGGAGAGGAGCCGTCAGGCAGCTCCAGACAGCAGGCCCTCTGCACAAAGGCTGCTGGGCTGGGGAAACACACTTGCAGGTTATGGCACCACCATGACACTCGGCAGTATTTCCCAAGCGGGGCCTGGAGGGCACAGAGACTTGAAAGTGGATCCTGATCAAAACAGTAGATTCCTAGAAATTTTGCATGAACCGTCGAGAAATACCTGCTTAGAGGTTAAACGACGCCGCCTCATTCATCTGCCTGGCCCTTGGCTGTCCCCCTAGCTGCCCTTCCTCCTTCTCTCCAGCCCAGGGCACAAACATCGAACGTGCAGCCTGTGCGTCACAGAACACGCGAGGAAAGGAACTGCCAGCACAGCACACACAGGGTCAGGGAGGCTGAGCCACAGGCTAGGAAGAGGAAATTACAAAAGGAGGCTGAAAACGATAATTGAAGCATAAAGGGCTCCAGTGCCGCATCCCTGTCCCATCACATCCGTGCCCGCCGAGCTTCAGAGCGACTGTCTGCAGAGGCCCCCCCCCCACGGTTTCCATGGCAACCCCTCCTGGCTCTAATGCAGCGCTGCGTTAAGAATGATGCCAAATAATTGGAGAGCGCAGGGGAGCGCAGCCAGCAGGCCGACCCCGCGTGCCTTCTATTTGCTGGGCTTTCGGGTGTGCGGGAGCTGAGAAGGCCACGTCATGGAGGGAGCAGGGGCTACGGGACAGTCTTTAGGGTCTGGGATTAGCAGGCCAGGCGAAGGACAGAAAGGCGGCTGGGAAGGCACGGGTCCCTCCAAAGTGCCCGGCGGCGCAGCCTCAGGACCCCTGTGACACACGTGTTTCCAAACGAGGCTCCGAGCAACCAGAGCAAGCCCTTCCCCCGCTCCTCCATCCCAGCGTGGACGGCCGCGCCCTTCCGGGGCGGGCGGACAAAGGGGGCAGCCTGCCTGCTGGGCCGCTCCTCCCTGCCCTTTGCCCTGCACTCAGCCTGGGGGAGAAGACACGAGGGGCCTGCTCGCCTGCCCCTGGCAGCTGCGGGGCCCCCCACAATGCAGGCGCCCGACCCCAGTGCCCAGGATGGCTGAGTGCTGTGAAGACCTCACAGCTTCTCAGAACACGGTGGGGTCTGAGACACGGAGACCGAGGGCAGGATCCTCAGGGCTCTCAGACGAGTGGGCAGGGGTGCCAAGGCCCTTCTTAGGCTCCAAAAAGCTACAAAGCCGGGGCAGCTCGTGAGGCTGCCCGGGTACTCTCATGGCTTTTGTGGCCAATTGCAACAAAGGGTCGTGATCCTGGGCCTTCAAGAGAGGCAATCTGAGCTTAAATTCTAGCTTCATTGACTATTAGCTGTGGGACTTTGGGCAAATAACATTTCTGGGCCTCAGTTTCCTCATCTGTAAAATGGAGCCAAACCAGGTCACCCCCCGGGCTGGATGAGAACGTGCATGGGAGCACAGGACTCACGTATGGGCTCGGACTTCAGGGTCAGAGTCACAAGCCCACTCCTCCCATGAGTGGGCAGTGGAGGTGGAAGCGACACAAAGAGGGTGGGAAGGAGGTCTGGGCAGTCTCTGTCCTGTGTGACCTTGAGCAGATCTCTCAACCTGTCTGGGCTTCAGTTTACTGCATGAATTCTGTTAGATCTAAGGCCTCACAGCTGTATAAACAAAATGGCTCAGAAAGACTCCGCCTCCCCTCAGCCCCACATTTCATCCGGGAAAACATAGAGACCGTGGCCCCGCAAACCACGCGCGGGGCCGCCTCCCTCACTTGTGCCTCGTTCTCGACTCGGAATCACAACTGCCCGGCCTCAAAGCCCAGGGGCAGCTCCTACCTGCAGCGATGGCTGTCCTGTTGTCCATGGTCACGGCTACAGCTGTGCTCACGGTCACCACCATCGGCTTGCCTGTATTTTCTGGGGGAAGAATTGTCCAGTCACTTTCTCTGCGCCTGAGGAGGAGCCGGGGTGGCGGCGCGGGCTGGGAAGCCCAGTAAACAGCAGGCTAAGACGTTCCCTGAGCGAGCGAGGGGATGCCCGGGAGGCTGCCTGCTACCACCACCTCGGGTCTTTGCGGAGTGCCTCGTACTTGCCTCCTATGTGCCGGGTGCCGCCCACCTCTCCATGCAGCTCCGAAGCTGCCAGGTCAGTATGTGGTGGCCCCTGGCCGCCTGGACAGCGATGCACCGTCAGGTCCCTGACGCTGCAGGTCTGCTCTGTCTCAGGGCCACAAAGGGCCTGCGGCAGCTGCCCCACTGGAGCTCGGGGACCCCACGGGGACCCACCCAGGAGACTCGCGTGGCATCAAGGGGCCCTTTCGAGCAGGGGATGGGCTGCGCTCCCGGAGCGCAGCACTGGCTGACCCTGCGCTGTCCTTCATCAGTTACATGAGTCAAGGTGACAA